AAGCTGGAAAAGAATATTAAAAATATTAAAGCTGAGTTATAATAATAGGTTACAGAGTCTATATATTGTGTATATTAAGATTTTTGTTTTTCTAATTATGCTACCAGTACAGGAATGCTTCTTGTTGTGATCATTTTAAGTAATACAGAAGTACATAAAATAATAAGTAGGGGCCCCATCACCTCCCTGCCCATAGTCTGTTTGCTGCCTGTGAACAGATTGTTATAAGTCTTCCAGATTTGTTTTCTTGGAGTTATTTACACACACATGTACATGTGACCCCACTAGTATATATAAAATATTATTTTAACATAAAACAAATGTATTTTTTTTGCAACTTCTTTTAAAACTATACATTACGAATCTTTCTTGATCAGTAAATACAGATCTACTTCATTGTTTCTAACCCTAATATGATGAGATTTACTGTAATATATTTTATTTCTTAGCTGATAGATACTTGTTTAATTTTTAAATGATAATTCTGCAAATGACCCTATTCACACATTTATCTTGGTATAATCTATTAATGAATTTAAGCTTCTTTTCATTTATTCATTGGCTATTTGCATTTCCTCTTTAGAGAATTTCTTATTCATATATCTTGCCAATTTTAAATGTCATTTTTTATCTTTTTTGTATTTACTTGTAGGAGCTCTTTATGAATTTGAGATTATTATTGATACTTCACTTTATTTAGAGATTGGCACAACATAGAATGCTTCCATCCAGAAGCATATGTCTTGTCATTTATTCTGGTCTTTATGTCCTTTGGCAAAATGTCATTGCTTTGTTTATTCAGTTCTTGTACAATTCTTGTTATCATTTATATGTCTAAATATTTTCACTGCTTACTTACAAACTAAGTTTTTTCTTTTTTTTTTTTAATTTTACAGAGCAGAATATGTTACATTTAACAATTCATGTGCATTTGCTTTCACTCCCTGATTACCATCCCCAACTCCCTTCTCCCTTCCCTGTGACCCTCCACCCCTGTGCCCTTCTCAACTATGCACTCCTGTCTGTCCACCTTTCCCTCCATGTGAATGCTGCCCCTCTGGTGCCCCATGGCCGATTGCTCCAAGGGGTGTATCTCTGTAGAGTAGGTGGGTATATCACCCTGGGTTGGGTGTTCTGAATGTATGTCTTTCTAATGTTGGGCTGAGAGTCAGTACTTGGGAGTGAGTCCTATCCCAGTCTCTAAGTGTATCCCAGAGTCATAGTCTTGGGCATCTCACCAGACTCCATCCAACCAGTAATTGTGGTCATTATTGTGCTTTTGAAATTTTTTTCTCATTTTTCCTTCCATTCTATCCTGGATCTCCAGTTCTGATCCCTTCCCGAGTGGTTGGCATTGGTAGCTGGGTACCATCTAGTTTTTCTGATCTCAATATCCATCATATCTTTGGACTAATTGTTTCCAAATGTCCTTGATTTTCTTCATTCTTCTCTTAGGACAAGAGAAGATGATTAGCTACATCTTAGATGGCCGCGCAAAAGCTTTTAAGACCCTAGTCATTACTCACCAAAATAGGTTGTAGAATAAGATATTTATGTATTATGTTGTGCCAGTTGAGCCTGGTGTCCCCTAGTACTGTGGTCCTGAGTCGGCAGGCCCAGTGGTTCTCCCTCCCAAGGTGTTTGGCTGTCTCTGAGGGATTAGTCCAGCTCTGCCTTCTGTTGCTTCTATAATTATTGTGGTTATTTTGTATCACTAGTATCTACGCAGATTATATTCAGCTAAATCTATCATTGGCCTAGGGTACATTCCTGTTCGCTGACCACCATCTTATGTTCTCAGTTGTCTATGCATTTATATGTAGTCTGGTGTTTGGTGTTAATGGTAATGCAGTGTTGTGCGTGTACTGGTATTAGCCTCTGTCGTCTGCATTTTATGTGCACATTTTGGTGTCCTCCTTTCCCCAATGTTATAATGCCTTCCTTTAGAGATGCATTTCCTCTTAAGAGAATTTCTTATTCATAACATCCCTCCCCTTTCCATACCATCCCTCCCCTTACCCAACTCAGCATGGGTAATAAATAAATAAATTTTTATTGAAATAATTACCAGTTGAAATAATAGTATATTCTTAAGGCTATTTTTGTCAAAGAATGATTCAAAGAAGAATAATTAGCATGCTTACATTGAGGCATTCGTGGTTCAATGATAGAATCCTCTCCTTCCATGTAGGAGACCTGGGTTCAATTCCCAGCCAGGGCACCTCATGCACAACCACCATCCCTCTGAGCCTTGTGTGTTGCTTTGATGCTCAACAGGTTTGAGTGGAGCTTCTAGACTAAGATGGACTAGAAAGAAAGGCCTGCTGCGCTGTGTAAATTACTTGGTATGGCTTTTCTAGCCATAAGTCTTTGTCAGCTTCATGGTGGAATTTGCTGTGAGAAACTGAGGAGCTCCTGATTGTAAAAGTTATCTACCTGGGGTGTTTCTTTTGGGAGTGGCACTGAAGCAATGTTCTGGGAGGTTCACTCTTGCTCAGGTGCTTAGTATTTAGATGTTATGATTGGTTAGTTTGGCCACTCTGCCAGGCTCAAAAGGAAGCCTCCTAGAGGCAGAACTCACGCTGACTGCTGGCTGAGGAAGGTCATGCCCCTAAGAGACACGCACTGCTGAGAAAGAGGTGCAAGAGACATGTATTGCTGAGAGGGACACCGAGGGACATACACTGCTGGGAGAGAGACTGAGCATTTTTCCTGAACTTGAATTGTAGCCTGGTGCTTCCCTAATAAACCCCATAATCTGTGAGTTCTGTGTGGCCACTGCAGCAAATTATCTAACCCAGGAGAGAGGTGATGGGTACTTTGGGAGGGATGGTTTGTGAAAGGGCTGGAGGGAGGCAGCATGTCTGGCTTTGTAGTAATAGGCCTTGGACTATTGATGGTGATTCCGTCTTCCTCCTGTGCGGTTAGAGGAGGTCAGAACATGTGGCCTCCTTGCCCATTTTGCACCTACTTACAAAAATCATTCAGTGAAAACCCTATGGATCACAACAGTCCAACTGATCTATAACCAGTCACAGGGATGGTGCAGGACCCATGAGCAGTGTTTTGTTCTGTTGTGCATGGGGTTGCCATGAGTCAGCACCAACTCAATGGTAGTTAACAACAACAAGATGAGTAGGAAAGGAACTAAGGACATGAGGAGCTGAGGATTGGAGGTCTGGGTGATATCTAAGCACTGTTGGAGCCAAGATAGCAGAAGGAGAAAATGAAAAAGACTGTGAGCATAAAGATGAGGTTGGTAAGGAGAAAAGCAATTCATATTTTTAAATTTTTTATTTGCTTATTATATTCATTTTAATATACATTCTATTGATATACAGTACATTTATTTTCCAATGATCATTGAATAATCTACTGTTGTTGTTGTTGTTACGTGCCGTTGAGTCGGACCTGACTCATAGTGACCCCTCTTTGAGTTCCGAGGAAGTAGATTGCCCCATCTTCCTTCCAAGGAGTGGCTGGTGGGTTTGAACCACCAGCCTTCTGGTTAGCAGTCAAGTGCCTTAGGCACTATGCTACCAGAGCCATTGATATGCTACCACTGCCATTGAGTTGATTCCAACTCATACCAACACTATAGGGCAGAGTAGAACTGCCCTATTGGGTTTCCAAGGTTGTAATCTTTATGGTAGCAGACTGACACATCTTTCTCCTATCATGCAGCTGGTGGGTTTGAGCTGCTGAACTTTTGGTTAGCAGCCAGACACTTTAACCATTATACTACAGGAGCTCTGGTAGCGTAGTGCCTAAGGCACTTGACTGCTAACCAGAAGGCTGGGGTGCAAACCCACCAGCCACTCCTTGGAAGAAAGATGGGGCAATCTACTTCCGTAGTGATACTGCCTCGGAAACCCAAGGAGGGGGGTCCGACTCGATGTCACGTAACAACAACAACAACACCAAGGCTCCTCAAATTATAATATACGATCCCTGAATTCCAAGCATTTCTGTTATGCATATTGTGTGAGTGAATCAGAATAATTAAATATCATTTGTGTTAATGAGAAGTAATCAACATTTCTTTTACCAAATGTGATTCAGAGATTAATGGAGATACATTCTACCATTTGAGGTTGTGTCATTTATTCAGAATTAAAGAGGTAGTATGTGTAATCAGAAAATAGATTGTAATGTTGGACTCAGTACAGTGCATGTATTGGAAAAATCAACATTAAGATAGGAAGCTGGGCAAATAATCACATTTTCCTAGGAATAATTTTGTGTGTCTTAAACAATCATATGAATGTCACCAATATCCACAAACATTAGCAGAAATGAGTAAATGTTTATCTATTTTAACCATTGAAACTGTGTTTTCCAATGTTCACTTGAGGGGTTCCCAACTTTTTAAAGAAGTAGCTTCACAGGAGGTTGGAAATCTATATTGTTGCTCCTTCTAGTGATGTTGAAAAATTTATATCCGCCCGCAAATTATACTAGTGTTAATATCTTTTATTAATCAAAGATCTCTCTGATTGTTAGAACTTCTAAGCCCCATTAAGTAACAAATTTTATCACCGGATAAACACAATTTCACTTATCCAGTGAAATGTGATCTTTTAGGCAGCTTCTGTAGCCTTGTTTTGGTAAATACATGATTTCAGCAAGGCTCTTTTTTTTTCCAATTTTTTAAAAAACTTGAAAATAGCTTACGAACGCTGCCTGTTCAACTATCTCCATAGGCCCCATTTGAGGACTGAATCTATTAAGGAATAAAAGGTTTATTTTTACATTTTCCACTTCTTTTCAAATACATCTTAATTTTTTCTCTTTCCCATTTTCTTCTCCTGGTCTTTCATTTCTCTATTTCTCCTCTTCCCACTCTCCTTCTAACCCAACTTCAAGTCTGTCACCTTTTTCCTTTTTCCTCAGTTTTTACTTGGAAAATATTTCCTTCCCCTGCTCAGTTTCTTCTGTGCTTGGTTTCACATCACCTCTTGATAGATATTTGTTTAATTTTTTTAAAATGATAATTCCTGTTATGCACTACATTTCATAGGCAGTATGTTCCTGTTGGGCTTATTGGTTCTTTGTATAGAGAACTATGGACGACATAAATAAGTATTTATGAATCTGGCTGTGTAGTGATCTACAAACATGAGACATATGAAAATCTCAAAAATGCAGCATGTGATTATTAATTGATGTCAATAAAGCATAGTTTCCTTTGGTATAAGCTTCTTGTGTTCAAGATATAAATAACATCAGTAAAATCTTTGATTTCTCATGTTGCTTGCAAACAACCTGTAAATTAAAGGTATTAATAATGAAGAACAGTCTGAATAGTTTTCTTTATAGTAAAAATATACATAATAATATACATAACAATTTGAACAATTTAGTAATATTAATTACACTAAATATTCCCAAACCCTCACCAATACAGTATTATGAATTTTTAATATTTTTTATTGCATTGGATGAGTTTTTATCTTATTCTTCAGTTCAAGGTATATAGTCTATGATGTTTTAAGATGACTGAGAGTCTAAAGCTGGCATGTGAGTGATTTACTAAGTGACTGACTGTGGTCACCATGACTCTCCTTTTTTTTTTGTAAAGTTGATAAAGTTGGCATTCATTGCTCACTTATTGCATGCCACTCATTCTTCTAGATGTGCCTTCCACGAATGACACAATTTTGTGAGGGGGATGCTATCATTATATTTATTTTACAGATGGATATCTGAGACACTTGGAGGTTTAGTTTACTAAGGTCACACAATTCTAACGTAAGAAGTTAGATTCCAAGTCAGAAGTATTGACCAGTGTATTTTATTATTTCCTTGATAAGGCAACTTTACCATGTATACATTGACCTCCCAGTTCCCATTAGCAACATTTCATTCATCCACTAATACAGAAGCAGTTTTAATACCACTTTCTTTCTGAACTGCTCCATCCTCAAGACCTTGAACTTGGAGCTCTGTCAGCTGCCTCCTTATCTTTCATCACTTCTTCTATTTCACAATGACTGAACCTGTTTAGCATCTTAATCAGTTCCTCTTGACTCTCTTTATTCTTCAAGACCCCACTCATGTCCCTTTCCTAGTTTCTTTTCATTCCCTGTCACACTAGGAGGACTTGCCACTGCTCAAATTCACCTTGCATTTCTCTAGGTTTTCACTTCACCCATTCAGTGCAGGTCCAGGCAATGTTTCATTCTGTTGTACATAAGGTCACTATAAGTCAGAGCCGATTTGATAGCACCTAACAACAATAACATTCTTTCTATCTGGAATATTCTCTCTACCATCTCTCCCTTCCACTTTGGCTTTTTTAAAACTTTACCCAATCTTTAAGCACATTTATTCTCCCCAAAACGCTACCTTCTCCTCAATACTCTTCCTGGTCATCTCAGAAAGGCTGATGTAATCTCTTTCTTCTTAGTATTTCCAATTTCATTTGTACAACAATATAGTGCTTATTAGAGTCTGACTTATAATATAGTTGTACGTGTTCCTTCCTTTCTAGCGTATAATCATAGCTTAGAAGAGCTAGCCCAATGCCTTGAGCTGGTCTAGAGTACGGAACAAAGAACTTTACAACTGAAAAGAATGTTAAAGATAATCTCATTTTATCCCCCAATTTTGTTGGTAAGGAAATTGAAAATTTTTTTAAGAGGTAACTCACATTGATGACAGGAAATTCCTTTGTTCCTTCTCTGAATGCTTATTTTGAATAAAATTGCATGGGTCCTAGACGGTGTGCTAAGTATAAGTACTAGGGATACATAGGCAACATTCTCTACTTTTAAGAAACTCAGTATCTACTGGGAGAGACAACTAACAGATTATTACAATACAGTGTGATGGAATAGTTGTTTGTGGAATAAATTAGTGCATAAGTAAATACCTAAATGCATGAATCAAGAAATACCTTTGTCAAAATAGTATAAAGAGCCTTGCTCGTACAGTGGTTAGAGCACTCAGCTGCTAACCAAAAGGTCGGTGGTTCAAACCTACCAGCAACTCCACGGGAGAATGATGTGGCAATCTGCTTCCATAAAGATTTACAGCCTCAGAAACCCTATGGGGCAGTTCTATGGGGGCACTATGAGTTGGAATTGACTCGATGGCAGTGAGTTTGGTTTGAAGTAGTAATAACAGATGGTTCTTTCGATTTTAAATGTATGGAAACAGATTTTGTGACTCAGTTAGTAAAACCACATTCCTAGCTGTAGGAAAAAATGTCAAATCAGATTTGTGCCTGATAAGTTGATCTCCATCAGCTCCAAAGAAGCTGGTCATTGGCATTGGCAATGGTGAGATGATGCTTTCCATCTTACTATGTTTTAGTTTTTCTCCCTTCAGTGTTTGTTGCTACTTTTCCTCATGTGCTCAGGATTTACTTCTAAACACTCGCTGACAGCTTGAACTAACTTATGTTTTGTTTGAAAATTGGCTATATGTTCACCCCAATGAGACTGAAGATTCCATGGTCTTTGAGTTGAACATATTCTTCATTCATTTTATTAACTTATTTTTAAACTTGAATATTCTTCTTGTGGGAGCTCTGGTGGCATAGTGCCTAAGGCACTTGACTGATAACCAGAAGTCTGGCAGTTCAAACCCACCAGCCATTCCTCGGAAGGAAGGCTGGGCAATGTACTTCCATAGTGATACTGCTTCAGAAACCCAAGGAGGGGTCTCTGTGAGTTGGATCCAACTCAACAGCAGTGGGCTCCAAAGGGTTTTTAATGGCTGAATTTTTGAAGTAGATTGCCAGGACTTTCTTCTGAGGTGCCTCTGGTTTGACTCAAACCTCCAGCCTTTCAGTTAGCAGCCAAGCACAAGTTGTTTGCACCACCCAGGGACTTCTCCTGCTATGTTAGCATCTCTCATTCTCCCAAAGTCAGGCTTTCTGTTCAATTTAAGTGCCAAATAAAAAGGAAATGGTAATCTCAGGGAGGAAGTGAGAAGAGTGCTGTTACATTGTGGGGACTACATTCAATGTCACAAAACAAAACTTGTATGAACAGTTGAATGGAAAATCAATTTACTCTGCAAACTTTCACCTAACTAAAAATAAAAAGTAATAAATAAATAAATAAATAAAAATAAAATGCCATGAACACATGGTACTGCTGTGCCCCTGACCTACAGGTTGCCTTACCTGTGAGATCTCAGGTCTGCTCTACACACAGTGCATCAGGAAGGACCTCCAGTTGGGTGGTGTGAGAGGGAGTTTTATTTGAAAATGGTTCCAAAACCTGTGAGAGAGATAAAGCAGGGAAATATGCTTTTGAAACATCCATGTCTATTGCTTTGCCAGAATCTGTTTGGTGCCTGGCACCTAGCTTTCCTCAGAGATAGCATTTTTGTACTGTGCTCAGCTGTTTGTGTAGCTTAGCATTTGGGGGATGTTGAACATAGTCCCTTAAAACATGACAACTGTGTCTTGTTTTTATTTTAGTATAACATGCCTTGCTTTAAGGGATCCTTGTACATGAAAATCTAGATCTGTCTATGTATACGAAAGCATTAGGACGTAGTGTTGGTGAAGGGGCAGTAAATGGCTTCTGACTGCACTATTTATGGGATGGAGAACTGGCTTCCTAAAGAACAATTTGGCAGAGTGCATCAAAATACCCTGGATGTGTTGGACACAGCAGCTCCACTCCCAAGAATTTGTCCTAGGGAAATCACTATGCATTTCCTTAGAAAGACATATCCACATGTTTATTAACCAAATCATTGCTTTGAATAATGAAAAGTTTTGAAACAAAAGCTGATCAAGGATTGGTTAAATAAAATATGGATATACCCATATGTTGTTAAAGTAGACAGCCACTAAAAATGATGATGTAGGAAAATTATATAGTAATGTGCAAAATCTTGGTGGTGTTAGGTGCCATTAAGTGGGTTCCAAATCATAGTGGCCTTTTGTACAACAGAATGAAACACCGCCATATGAAAAATAACAAACCCACCAGCCACTCCTTGGAAGGAAGATGGGGCAATCTACTTCTGTAGTGATACTTCCTCAGAAACCCAAGGAAGGGTCGCTATGAGTTGGGCCCGACTCAATGGCACATAACAATAACAACAACAACAACATTGTTCAATAAACACATAGGTACAAAAATATGTATTATTACATTTTTACAAAAAGTCTAAGGGTATATTGTGTGGAAACAGACAAAGATTAACTATATACTGAAATGTAAATTGTTTACTCTGATTGATAGGATTATCTGTGGTGTAAACTTATTTATTTTTATGTTTACTCTTGTTTTTTTCTTTTTTTACATTTCACCAAAATTTCTACAATGGAAGGTTTAATTTCAGAAAAATGTTTAACTCATAAATCCCATTTTAGAATGTAGCAGAGATAAATTGGGCTGTGACGCCTCAAGAATCAAACATGTGCTGAATCGCAGCCCTTGTACTTTGTTTCTGGTTTGGAAATGAGGGCTTTCTTTTGTTATGTTAATAGGATCATTTAAAAAAAAAGATTCATCTTGGGTCTTCTCATACAGATGATCAAGCACCAATATGACAAAATAGTCTTTAATATCAATATCTGAGAAGTTTCCAAGATGGAATTAATTTCTTAAGAACCTCCAAAGTCCCTTCTTCCAAAAGTTATCACACTCCTTTCTTTCCAGAACAAGAAGCTAGGTATCTGTGTTGTTGAAAATGAATAAAGCATGGACTGTTTTACAACCATTGAAAAGTCTGAGGTTGACTTATATGTCCCAGCATGGACAGATATTTAAAATACATTGATGAGAGAGGGGGAAAAAAATGCATTGGTGACTAAGAAATGCAAGTTGCAGAACATGTATATTGGGATTGTATTAAAAACCAACAGTAATAATAACACAAATATATATATATATATATATATATATATATATACACATATATATATATATATTATTGAGAGGAAATATATTTGGTAAAATAAGCCTGAGAGGACACACACTGAATTGTTATCAAGGGTTATCCTGGAAAGTGGAGTAGAGACAAGAAACAGCTTACTGGAAGGTGCTGGATAGGGTTATTTACTTCCACTTTTCAGTCTATATACTTCTACATTGTTAGCATCTTTTATAATTTTAAAACACTTGAAAGCAAATAAGCGAAATCTAATTTTTATAAATGCCTGTACTTGTAAACTCAGGTAGAAGCTAAATAGTGGATATTTCTTATAAACTTTAAATTATTGGAATTTTTAAATTTAAATTTAAAGTTAAATTTCCTGTATTTTCAGAGGACCAGTGGTAATGAAAAGAAAACACTCTCTCCCTTGATAATTGTTTTGCGATATAAAAATGACAAATGGACTTTCTGAGATTTCCACACAAGTATTCCAAATATAATCTTAAGGCATACAGTTTTGCAGCAAAAGACATACAAAGTTTGGGGCAGGCAGGAACACAGTGGGACCTTCCCATTAACCAACTACGTCACCAAATTCATGCTTAAGGTTGGGCACAGATGGACATGTGATATGGGAGATGAGTATCTCCAGTGACCATGTCCTTGCTGCATGCATATTTACCCCCTTCTCTTACTTGTCTTGGCATATCACACCTGTCCCTTTCATGATGTCTTTCCCTTTCCTATACTAAAAACCACTTCCAGAAAAGCTAGGAAACACATTCCCATGAATGTATCAACAATGACTCTTTACACTTTACTAACCAGATTTGTTTTTTTAAACAACAAACAAAGGAATGATGTTCTAATGAAAAAGTTCATGACTCCATCAGAATTAGGGGGCATAGGCAATCACTCATGCTGCTTATCTATCCATGGCATCCTCTGGAGTGGCCTAGGGCATGACAGGGGTTTTCAGACTTACAGATGATGGTATATGTCAGGATCCCTCTGGATTCGGGTCTGGAACCCTATATACAAGTCATCCCAGAGTAGACCGTTCTTCACCACATGTCTGACTACATCGACCCGACTCCGGATCTGAAACAAACACAGAGTAACATGCAGAGGTTGCCCAGACAGCACAGAGTATATCACATTCCTCATGCTGCTGGAGAAGTAGCTGTCCTTGATGACAGAAGCATGGGAGTCAAGGAAAGGAGTCTGCCAAAGCAGACATCACAGACCAAGGAAAAAAGGAGAAACACAGTGCAACAAAAGTTGAGGAGAGTAGAACAGAAGACAGATCAAGAGCTGGCAGAATGTAGTGATTGAGAACACAGACTCTGGGGTCAGATCGCCAGGTTCAAATCCAGGTTCTAGCATATGATCTTGGTAACCATTCTGGGCCTCCGTTTCCTCGTTTATAAAATGATGATAATAATAAACCATAGGATGTTATAAGGATTAAGAGAGTCAATGTATATTGACTCTTAATACTTAAAATTAGGTCTGGCATATATTAAGCTTTCAATTAATGTCTGCTTTCTTCTTTTTCTCCTCCTCCTCCATCATTATCATCGTCATCATTATCATCACATCATCATCTCCAAAGTGGAAAGTTTGTTTCTTTTCTGAACGTTCAGAGGCAAAACAGAGTCTGTTCATTTACTACAATCTGCTGTGTTTCAGGCCCACACAGAGCAGGATTACTTTAGATAAGTTGGCCAAGACTTACCCTTAAAGAATCCCAGCTTCCGACACTGAAGCTGCTGAATGGTCAAAGGACCATAGGATTTGGAGACAAGCAGAAATTGTTTTGAGTCCCAGTTTGGCTCTTACTAATTATCTGACCTTAACCTTGCTAAGCCTTGGTTTCCTCTAATGAAAGACTGTTGTGAGAAAAAATGAGATAGTTGATATGAAGAGCATGAAGTAACATGAGAACTTTTCCTAAGACTGTGAGTGGTTTAAAGAATTCATCAGTGTTGGTATTGTTTACCAGGAGTTTTTTCAGTATATGTTATGACTTGCCCCCCTCCACCCCCAGATAACTATTATTCTAATGCTAGTAAATGCCAAGTTTTCATAAAAGACATGTTATTAACTGAAATAGAATGGATAGATTCATTTTAGATTTATGACCTTTTAGGTTTATGTCCTTTTCCTGCACTATTTCAATGACATGATTATATCCATTGTGAACTGAGAGTGTAAATAAAAGTCAGAGGATGTAGCCCTTTGCCAACAGAGATTTAAGATCATGTTTTCACAACTTGTTTGGGTCAAGGAGTGTCCAGCTAATGTGCAGTCTCAAGATCTAGTCCCCTCAGTGAAGGAGAATAGACTTCCTTGATCTTTCAATCTGGAGAGGCCCACATGGAGAATTTGGGACAGATTTGAGAAATATTTATCATCACTGATTACATTTGGGAATAAGGTAATTGGAAGATTAAAGATTATCCCTTGCTTCTAACTTACCTGATTGAGAGGTATGACATGGCCAACAATCAAGATAGCAAAGGAGAAGGAGTGATTTTAGAGGAGGAAGATGAAGAGATGGATTTGAAGATGATGTACCAAGCATTGGTTTTGACATTTGGCAGTGTTAAAGGGAGCCAAGGAGAATTCTGGGCTAGACTTATGGATTTTGGAGTCACTAGCAGATAAATGGTTTTAGCAGATGAGTTCACCTAGGAAGAGACATGAGAAGAGTGGGTTGAGTAGAGAGCCCTGAGATAAACCAAGACAGTTAAACAAAGGCTGGAGATAGAGAGGCCCCTCAGGAATGCAAAATAGTCAGGAAGTGAGGAAAAACGGGGAAAGTGTCACTGAAACAGAAAAGATGGCCTTCTGGTCCAAAATGATGGAAAGATCACATGCATGATGTGTCTTCTCAGCATTTCAAGATTAAACTAAAATATTGACAAAGCGATTTTGAAGGCATAAACTGCCACAATGAAGAGAAAGCAAAATGAGTTGTTGAGACAGGAGATTTCAACTAATTTTGAGGATCTGGAAAGCAGGTGGATAGATGCCAACCAAAGCAGCAGGACAGAGACAGGCAAATCCTCGTGAGTACATGGTGGAATATTCAAACATGGAGGAAGTAGAGTAAGGTATCATGGAGGACAACAGGGAAACGTAAGCACATAGGTATGCACATGACTCTGTTGACCTCTTCCCTAGCCCTCTGATGGCTTCTGGCTAAATGCATTTACATAGTTCTCTGAATAAATGAACATGATTTTTGGAAGAGAATTAGGACAAGTAGTATATTCCAGACCAACTAGCTCAAGATTTTGGCATCTAGGGGTTCCATAGCCTAATAGCTGACTTCTCACCTTCCAAACTTAAAGCAAACTGGTGATTCCTTGACGAAATACAGGCTTTAGCTCTGTTTCATATAGCCTAAGTTCCATTTCCATCATCCATCTGTCAGTTATTTTACTGTGGTGCTTACACTTTGCTAAAATGCTGGCAGTTATGCTACCAGTATTTCAAATACCAGAAGGGCCATCCATGGTAGATAGATCTCAGCAGAGCTTCCAGACTTAGAGTAGGAAGAAAGGTCTACTGATCTACTTCCAAAAATTAGCCAATGAAAACCTTATGGATCACAACAGAACACTGGTCAACTCACTTGCTTGGACATGTCATCAGCAGGAATCAATTGTTAGAGGAGGATACTGTGTTTGGTGAAATGTAAGGGGTCAGTGAGCCCCTTGGTGAGACGGATTGGCACAGCAGCCCAACAATGGACTTGAATGTGTTGGTAGTGTCGTGAGGATGACACAGGACCAGGCAATCTTTCATTCTGTTGTATATAAGATCACCACCAGAGTAACTTGATGGCAGCTGAAAACAATATAATCCTTTCTAAAAATAGAATTAGCTCCCTACATTTATAAATCAGGGTATTGTACACAAAAATCCAGATTCCAAATTCTCTGGAAAATTCAGAAGATCATGTAGAGTTAAGTAGGTGCTGTCCTCTTTTACTTTCCACTTGATATAATCCCCACCCCACTCTGCCGATTTACAAGATCTGCCTTGGGCCGGGCTGAGCATTTAAGCCTGTAACCTCTGTTCTCAAGTAATGCCCACTGGCTAACAAACCCTATGCATGTGCAAATATAGAATCATTTTGTTCATAATGGTTGTAAATTCATTTTTAACCTATATGCTGCTTCATATAGGCTTTGCCTATATGTGGAAACCCAGTTTTTTAAGTCCCACAAATCAGGTAGCAGGTACTTGGTTTTACTGAAGTTTCAGTACAGGATTCTTTTTAATAACAAGTACTTTACTGAACATAAAAATACATATCAGTTTATGAAAATGTAGTTTAATAACACATCTACTATGTGAAAGTACATCTAAATGTTGACAATTAGGGCATCACACAATAAGATTTTTAAGGACAGAGTTGGTGTCCTGAACACCATTGTGGCAATTGATTAGATTTGGGGGATCTAATTAGATTCACTACTTTATATATCCTAACTTATCTAATTATCCTTACATTTATATAGCATTTTCATTATAATGCTTGTTCACATAGATTTTGTCGCTTGACTCTCATGTCTCCCTGATAAAGTGAGAATAAGCACTATGGAAGGAAAAAAAACAAGGCTCTGATTCCTCAAAGACTCAGACAATAAGTTATAGGGTCTCCAAAGACACAGCTCTTTCCTTTGTATCATTCAGGTGATTTGTTCAAAATTGAAACCTCCCAAAATATGTATTGATTTATGTTGATTAACTCCTTTTATAGAGATACCCATTGGGTTTATTTGGGAAAGAAGACATGATTGGAGAAAAGGCAAAGAAAGGTAGGAAACCAAGGCTTGCAGCTTATACTGATTGGGTGTTTGAAAATAAGTAGGTAGGTGAAACCAGTCTTCATGAAAGGATTTGAAAGAAGCAAGTATGGACTTCAGTTAACAGTAATGTTGCAATATTCGTTCACTGTTGTTGTTATTGTTAGGTGTCTTCAAGTTGATTCAGTGATCCCATGTATAACACAACAAAACATTGCCTCGCCCTAAACCATCCTCACAATAGTACATATATTGGAGCCCATTATTGCAGCTACTATGGTAATCCATCTCATTGGGGGTCTTTCTCTTTTTTTTTGGCTGACTCTCTACTTTACCAAGCATGATGTCCTTCTCCAGGAACTGATTCCTGCTGATAACATGTCCAAAGTAAGTGAGACAAAAATCTCACTATCCTCACTTCTAAGGAGTATTCTGGCTGCGTGTCTTCCAAGATAGATTTTTAAAATATTCCAGCAGTCTGTGATACATTCAATGTTCTTCATCAACACCATAATTCAGATATGTTAGTTCTTCTTTTGGTCTTCCTTTTCGTTGTCCAGCTTATGCATGCATATAAGGCAATTGAAAAGACCATGGCTTGGGTCAGGTTCACATTAGTTATCAAAGCAATATCTTTGCTCTTTAAAATTTTAAAGAGGTCTTTTGCAGCAGACTTGCCCATTGCAATATGTCATCTGATTTCTTGACTGCTGCTTCCATGGGTATTGATTGTCAATTGAAGCAAAATGAAATCTTTGATAACTTTGGTATTTTCTCCATTTATCATGCATGATGTTGTTTATTGGCTCAGTTGTGAGGATTTTTGTTTTCTTTATGTTGAGGTTATGACAAATGTGCTGTAGTAATGTAAGATGTTAACAATATTTTCTGTACTATATTTGTGAATTTTCTGTGAATTTAAAACTATCCTAGAATAAAAAGTTTATTAAAAAGAAAGGAAGGGAATCAGGCTTCCAGCAAGATGGCGGACTAGGCAGAAGGATTGCACAGACCCTCTTCAACAAAGAAAAGGGAAACCAATTAACACAGACACAGAAGATAATCTTGGACCCCTGAGCCTTGAAGGGAAGGATACAGAATTGGACTAAACCCCAACTAGCAGAAGAATTTGTGTGAAAATGCCAAAAAAAAAGGAGACATACGGAACTGCAGTCTGACAGCGAACTGAGTGACCCTGACAGTACAGGTGGCTCGGAGATTCCCGACTGGTGGTAGGATCTAAGAATTAACCTAAAAATCACACTGCTAACCAGGGACTGCATGGACTGTGCACAGTGGCTGGGGAACAAATGGAGAAAGTGAAGACAAAGGCGGGCTGAGCTGTGGACTTTTGCCGGGCCGGAGCGCGCCGCCATTTTGAAGGTTTAAAAAGCGGCTTGACTATTTTGGATATTTAAAGAGGCAGCAGTCTGGCAGATTTCTGGGGCTTAAGAACATGCTCTGCTTTCCAGCAACCACAAGGATGCTCGGGGCCTGCAAGACTGAAAAGTTTTTCGATGGACAGTCAATTGTAGTTTGTGTCTAACTGAGTGGGAGACAATAACAATCCACATAAGACACAACTACACCCACACCTCCTGTGACTTCACTTACTGAGCGAGAGCCACTTCCTCCATCTCCAGCAACGGGCCAACGATAAAAAACCACCAAGAAGAGCCTGAACCACCCTTGGCTGCTCTTCATAAACAGTTAACAGAGATCTAAATACAACAACGTCATGATGCCTTGGAAGCAACAGACCATCACAGTCCACACAAAGAAGCAGGATAAAGTGGTAGAAACAAGGGAGCAGGATACAGACCCAGAATACATCCCTGAGGAAGAAGCAGCATTGGAACTCTCTGATAAGAAATTCAAAAGAATTATATTTAGGTATCTTCAAAGGATTGAGAGACAGACCAAAGAAAACACAGAAAAAACCTTACAAGAATTTGGGAAGAAAATACAAGAACAAAATAAAAAATTAGAAATGATTCTAAATCTACAGATAGAAATCCAAAAGATTAATACTAAATTGTCAGAAATAAAAAGAAAGGAAGGAGGAAAAGGAGAAAGAAGCACTTTCCCCAGTGCTGCTGCTTACTTCCTCATAGGAATGTTCCCGGCATGGTCTTTTCTTTGGAAAAGATAAATCTAGAAAGTCAACCAAATAGTCGTATCCTCCAGGATAGGGGCTGAAGTCCTCATCTGTCTCAATCATCTGTGCAAATGACAATACAGTAAAGGGAAGGACCATGTCAATTTGGTGGTCAAGATCTTGAAAACCTTATAGACCATGTAAGACTTAAAAGCCCTTAAATGATAAATAGTAATGAGTTGAAATTAATTTGGGAAGTCTCCCATCTCTCTGTTTCCTGAACTGATAGCATTTAAATCCTAACCTTCTATCCTAGCAAAACTGCTTCTTATCATGAACTTCAATGAAATTTATATAGAAGGTTAACATTATCTTAAGTATTGTTATTAATGAGACATTAAAACCACCATAAATTAGGTTAAATAAAGGCTAGGGAATAAATAAAATGAGGACGGTATCTCACTATCGTAGAGCAGCTAAATTAAATAGTTTTACTGTAAGTTCCTAAGGTGTTTTCTTTCCCAAAATAACTGTTCAACTAAAGTATTTTTCCAGGTCTCTGGATTTTAAAGACAAATTCCTAAAAATAATTTGGGAGCTAATAAAAAAAAATGTACATTGCTAAATGAGGGCTAAAAAAAAAAAAAAAATCATGTCTACTGTCAGTACTGTCTACTATTTTTGTTTCATTAAAGGGAGAATGTTTAAACCACTCAAAAATAGAAAGGACATAATCTTATAAGAATGACAGTTTATCCCAAGAACAGAGAGTTGACACCTTTGCACAAATACATATACCCCCACTCATACACACCTTACTATTGACCATTGGAAAATTAGTCTGGCATTGAACCCCAAGTAGGTTTTGGGGAGTCACTGCTTTAGAGAATGAGAAGTGTTGCCTGGTACTAATATTTAGCACTTCAATAATAAATTTGAGAATAGTGCTTACTTTGGGGGTAACAGATCCCTGTCTTTAAAAGTGTTGCCCATTTCTTGCGGCCTGGCCTGAACCTTTCTCTCCACACACATCCACAAGCACCCAATATAACTCAGCAACTTTGCGTTATTCCTGACCCATTTCTGGTCTCTTCTTTCACCTGCCAGAGTCCCTGTTTTTGTTGTTATTAGTTGCTGTCAATTCAATTCTGATTCATGTAACCCCATGTGTATCCGAGTAGAACTGCGTTTCATAGAATTTTCAATGGCTGTGATCTTTTGGAAGTTTGTTGCCAGGTCTGTCTTCCAAGGCACCTCTGGGTAGACTCAAACTGCCAATCTTCCAGTAAGCAGCCAAGCACATTAACTGTCTGCATCACCGAAGGACTCCTGCAGGGATTCCCTGGGTGGTGCATAAGGTTACTAGACAAAAGATTGGCAGTGATCTGCTTCTGAAAGGTCACAGCCATTGAAAATCCTACAGAGCAGAGTTCTACTCTGACACATGTGGGGTCTCCATGAGTCGTAGTCAACTCAAAGGCAGTTGGTTTTCTTTCTCCTGCATCTCTTGCCTTTGCTATTGGATATACCCCTAGCTTTGGTAACCAAGTTACAAAACTGAACAGCTTGGGTTGTGGGCTCTGTGTTTATGTGTTGGGCCTCAGTTTAAGTTCTAGTTCTAGGTTGACCTCTTAGTTTATGCAAAGCAGTCCTCACCACAACTGCAGATAAGAGGTAGCTGCTGCTTTCTCACTCTGTTCAAAGTCACCCTCTCACTGAGTGGATCCCACCTTCCAACCCCACAGTTTAAATGGCTGTTCCTGTCATGCTAGGCAAACAAACAAACAAAAATACCCCCCAAACAAAAACAAACAATAACAAACACTATTGACAGAAAGAGAAAGTGAACTAGACTTCAAAACTTTCCCTAAATTTTCAATGAGGGATAGTTTCTCACTATGTCAAAGCTATTCTCTGCTAGGCAATCAGTAGAACTTAAGGAATGCTTATTGAGAAATAGTTTGGATATATTTCAATAATACAAGGAAGCAAAAATAAATCATACTGAATAGCATACCCTGATCACAAGGTTATAATCCTTAAATCCAGCCCAAGTGAAGTATTCTTTTATCCAGGAAGAGTGAAGAAATATTTCATCTCTTATGGCAGCATTCAAGATTTTTAAGTATGGTCCAAAGTCCCAGGAATCCTTGTAAATTTTAGTTCCTTCTGGAGGCTCTGTGATGCCTTTGCTTCAAGACACAAAGGGAGAGGGTGATAAAATAAATAAAGCAACAAATATGGACCTAGAAAGCAAAATTTAACACTTAATTTTTAAATATCAAAAAATCAACCAGGCTAGTAGCTTGCTACTGCTCAGGTGATCCCAAGGGATCCCACAAAAGTGCCACAGGCATCTTTTGGGAGTTGGGCCTACTCCCCTGCTTTAACCAGAACAGTTCCTGTTCATTGTTTAGTATGATGGATTTCCAAGTCAAATTTCACTTGAATAAATGTGTCCATGGCTGAACATTTGAAAACCACTGATTTGAATCCTCTTTTGCCAAATAACTATGGAAATGTTGGTCATAATCTGATCATATTGTGGATGTCTACAAATCCCTACCCCACACCCACCAAAAAAAAAAAAAAACCTTAGAATGTAAGTTCCATGACCAGAATATAGTTGCTGTTGTTGTTATTTGCCATCAAGTCGGACCTGACTTATAGATAGCCCTCCTTGAGTTTCCAAGGCAGTGTCACTACAGAAGTAGATTGCCTAACCTTCCTTCTGAGGGTATTTAATAAATATTTGTTGACCATATGAATGACTTTAACCTATCTTTGAGACATAATCAGAATTTTGTGTCTCTAGCATATAGCCCTATTACTGTCCAGCAGGCAGATGGACAATTTTATCGTACAATACACCAGCAATATGGATAAGAGAATTCTCTGGCATTCCTAGACATTGTCCATCTTGTGTGAGGATGGTTCATCACATGAAACATGGGATCTTCAATCCTGGGAATGGAAAGGAGTATCTTCTGCATAAGAGAAATATTCTGTTGTGAAACTGAGAGTTGAAAGGGGAGAATCAAGTTCCTGCCTAGTAAAGAGTTGGCAGGCAATGGTAGGAGTATATATACTTCTTCCTAAGACAACATGTTTAGTTCCATTGCATGCCCAAAGCTATAGTTGTAGTGGTTTCTATAATGAATTATTCACCAAATCCTCAAGTTCCTAACTTTTAAATATGCTTCAAATCTTCTCCAACTCTTGCTTCATCTCAGTTTAAAAACAAAACAAAAAACCTACCAAACTCATTGCTGTCAAGTCAATTCTGACTCATGGCAAACCCATGTATTAGTGAGTAGAACTGCTTCATAGGGTTTTCTTGGCTATAATCTTTACAGAAGCAGATTCTCAGGCCTTTTTTCCACAGCACTGCTAGAAGGGTTCAAATTGACTACCAACCTTTGTTGTTATTATTATGGTTGTTATTAAGTGCCATTGAGTTGGCTTTGACTCATAGTGACACTATGTACAACAGAAGAAAACAATGTGCAGTCCTGCATAATCCTCACAATCATTGCTGTGCTTGAGCCCACTGTCACAGCCACTGTGCCAATCCATCTTGTTGAGGGTATTCTGCTTTTTTGCTGACGATCAACTTTGTTGTTATTGTTGTTGTTGTTTGCCGTCGAGTCGGACCCGACTCATAGCGACCCCTCCTTGGGTTTCCGAGGCAGTATCACTACAGAAGTAGATTGCCCCATCTTCCTTCCGAGGAGTGGCTGGTGGATTTGAACCACCAGCCTTCTGGTTAGCAGTCAAGTGCCGTAGCCACTATGCTACCAGACGATCAACTTTACCCAGCATGAAATCCTTCTCCAGGGACTGGTCCCTCCTGCTAACATGACCAAAGTACAAAAGATGAAATCTGGACATTTCTCTTTTAAGGAGTGTTTCAGAGGACAGATTTGTTCATTCTTCCAGCAGTCCATGGTATTTTCTGTATTCTTCACCAATACTATAATTCAAAGGCATCAACTCTTCTTTGGTCTTCCTTGTTCAATTTCCAGCTGTCACATGCATATAAGGCGATGAAAAATCTATGGCTTGGGTTAGCTGCACATTAGTCTTCAAAGTGATATCTTTGCTATCTAACACTTTGAAAAGATCTTTTGCAGCAGATTTACCCAATGCAATACATCATCTGATTTCTTGACTGCTGCTTCCATGGGCATTGATTGCAGACTCAGGTAAAATGAAATCCTTGACAAGTTCAATCTTTTCTCCGTTTATTATGATGTTACTTATTGATCCAGTTGTGAGGACTTTTGCTTTAGTTATGTTGAAGTGTAATACATATTGAAGGATGTACTCTTTCATCTCCATCAGTAAGTACTTCAAGTCTTCTTCACTTTCAGCAAGTAACAATGTGTCATTTCTATGTTACAGGTTGTTAATGAGTCTTTCTCCAATCCTGATGTCATATTCTTATTTATAGAGTCCAGAATCTTGGATAATTTGCTCAACATACAGATGGAATAAATATGGTGAAAGGATACAGCCCTGACACACCTCTTTTCTGATTTTAAACCACGTGGTATCCCCATGTGCTGTTCAACTGGCTGCCTCTTGATCTATGTACAGGTTCCTCATTAGCACAATTAAGTATTCTGGAATTCTCGTTCTTTGCAATGATACTCAAAATTTGTTATGATCCACACAGTCAAATGCCTTCATGTAGTTAACGAAACACAGATTAACATCTTTCTGGTATTCTATTCTTTCAGCCAAGATCTATCTAACATTAGCCAAGATAACCCTTTTTCTACACCATCTTCTAAATCTGGCTTAGATTTCTGGCAGTTCCCTATGTTCTGCTGTAACCATTTTTTAAATTATTGTCAGCAAAATTTTACTTTCATGTTATAGTAATGATATTATTTGATAATTTCTGCATTCTGTTGGATCACCTTTCTTTGAAATGGGCACAAATATGAATTTCTTCCAGTTGGTTGGTCAGATAGCTATTTTTCAAATTTCTTGGCATAAATGAATGAGCACTTCCAGCTTTGCATCCATTTGTTGAGACATCCCAATTCCTGCTTTTCACCAATTCCTTCAGTGCAACTTGGAGTTCTTCCTTTCATAACATTGGTTCTTGATCATATGCTGCCTCCTGCAATGAAATGGTTGAATGTCATCCAATTCTTTTTGGTGCAGTGACTCTCAGTATTCCTTCTCTCTTCTTTTAATTCTTCCTGTGTCATTCAGCATTTTGCTCCTGTTGTTAGGTGATTTCAAGTCAGTTCTGACTCATAGCGACTTCATGTACAATAGAACAAAATGCTGCCTGCTTTAGCACCATCCTCACAATTGCTGCTGTACTTGAGCTCATTGTCATAGCCACTGTGTCAGTTCATCTCATTGAGAGTTTTCCTGTTTTTTCACTGACTCTCTATGTTGCCAATAAAATCCTTCAATATTGCTAATTATTGTGGTTATTTCACGCTGCTTTAACAGAAAATACCACAGATGGGTGGAGGGCTTTAACAAACAGGAGTTTATTCTCTTACAGTTTTGGAGGCTAGAAGTCTGAGTTCAAAGGGCCATGCTCTAGGGGCTGGGTGAAGGCTCCTTGACCTCAGGCTTCAACTCTGCCTCTTGCCCCTGGCCCACTGAAGCTGGAGGCTTTCTTCACTCAGGCAGCTGCTGGTGCTGAGGCTGACAAACTCAAGATTGACAAGTAAAAGGGCACAGTACTGATATTACCAGACCACATGGCAGGTCATGGATTCAAGTCCATTAAGAGTCCCAAGATCAGTAGACACCATGGCAGGCTGCTGAACAACAACTTGGCTACATGTAGGATTCAAGTATTCCAAAACCTGCAGACCATTCCCAAAGCTTCTCCTTATAGACTGGAAGCAGATCACATCTCTAGAGCAGCTACTCAGCTGCTCATGGCAGATTCCACCATGGAGTTGATTGCCAGTCTCATCATGGCGAATAACTATAACCAGTTATCCAGCCACTCAAAACCAGGCCCAGCCAAGTTGACACATAACCTTAATTAACTACCACACTAATTGAAGCTTGAGTTTTTTCTTTAGTTCTGTCACCTTGAGAAAAGCCAAGCATGTTCTTCCCTTTTGATTTTCTAATGCTAGGTCTGTGCACATTTCATTAAAACATAAAGCCTTTACTTTGCCTTCTTGATTCATTCTTTGAAATCTTCAACAGGTTTCTTACTGAACATTACTTCCATTCATTTTAACTATTCTCTGTTCAAGAGCAATCAAAGTCTCTTCTGACATCCATTTTGGTCTTTTCTTCCTTTCCTGTCTTTTTAATGACCTTTTGCTTTCTTCATGTATAATGTTCTCAGTGTCACCCCACAACTCTTCTGGTCTTAAGTCATTGGTGCTTAGTGAGTCAAATTTATTCTTCAGATGGTCTCTAAATTTAGGTGAGCTATATTAAACATTGCATTTTGTCTCTCGTGGACTTGTTTTAATTTTCCTTAGCTTCAACTTATAGTTGCTACAGTTGGCCCCTGGCCTTGTTCTGACAGATGGTATTAAGCTTCTCTATTGCCTTTTTTCTGCATATGTAGTCAATTTGATTCCTGTGTATTCTATTTGACAGAGTCTGTATGTACAGTCACCATTTATGTTGTTGAAAAAAAGGTATTTTCAATGAATAAGTTGTTGATCTTGCAAAATTCTATCATGTAATCTCTGATGTCATTTCTACAAAGGCATATTTTCCAATTACTAATGCTGCTTCTTTGTTTCCAACTTCTGCATTACAATCACCAGCAATTATCAATACATCTTGATCGCATGTTTGGTCAATTTCAGACTGCAGAAGTTGGTAAAAAGTCTTCAATTTCTTTATCTTTAGCTTTAGTGGTTGGTGCATAGATTTGAATAATAGTAGTATTAACTGGTCTTCCTTGTAGGAATTTGGATATTATCTTATCACTGACAGAATTGTACTTCAGAATAGATCATGAAATGTTCCTTTTGACAATGAATATGATACTATTCCTCTTCAATTTGTCAGTTCCAGCAAAGTAGACCATATGATTCAAAATGGCCATACCAGACCATTTCAGCTCACCTTTAGGTTAGTAAAAAAAAAATAGTATCTGTTGCCATTGAATCAATTCTGACTCATAGCGACCTTATAGGACAGAGTAGAACTGCCCCATATGGTTTCCAAGGCTGCAGTTCTTACTGAAGCAGACCACCACATTGTTTTCCTGTGGAGTGGCTGGTGGATTTGAACCACAGACTTTTCAGTTAGCAGGTGAGTGCTTAACCGCTGTGCCACAGGGATCCTTTTTAGGTTAGTAGCCTAGCACCAACTATTTTGCCAACCAGGGACATTATCTAAGTTTGGGGCCTCACTAATCTTTTCTTGGATAAAGCCATAGCCTTATAACTGGCCTCCCTGAGTCCAGTTTTTGTACATATAATCTTTTCCTCAGTATATTCTGCTCAGCATAGCTGAAATGGTTTTTCTAAAATACAACTCAGTAATGAACCATCTTTATAACAAAATCCAAGTTCCTTAGTCTGACTTATAGTGCCTTTCCGACCATGGCTTCCAAAAACGGTGTTCCTGCCTTATCATTTTCCTCTGCCTTCACTTACCAATCCTATACCCAAGTAAGTACATGGCTTCATGAAGGCAAGGACCTTTTTACAGCTCTATCTCTTGTACCTAGTACATATATATATATATATATATATATATATATATATATATATATATATATATATATATA